TCCATTGAATTCAATACAAACTTTTCCGAATAAGGTCCCATGGGTCGGAAGTAGATGAGGGGACTTCGCCTCTCTATTATAACGGTCAAATTTACAGAGAGAGTGACGTCAAACATCCAGGACAGCTGAGTGGTTCCTGTGACACCAAGTAAACACACTACACTGTAAAAAATAAATACCACACTACACTAAAAATAAATAATAAATAATTCACTACTCTGTAAAAAAGAAACAATTTTTTTTTCGGTTAAAATAATAACCATTCGGTTAAAATAATAACCATTATTTATTTTATTTGAATCTTTTAATAACCGGCTCTCTACCTGCAGGCTCACCTGTCTGCTGCTGCCTTCAGAGACACCAGGGGGGTATACTACGAAGCAGGTTGTTCTCTTAGCGGCTAACTTCAGGGAAAACTCGGGGTTTCCGGTCCTACGAAGCTGGTTCTCTTTTTAGCAGGCTAGATCTCCATGGTAACTTATGCTGTGCGGCTAACCTGGTCCGGAGCAGGTTAGGTTGCAGGCTAAGAGATCAACTCAGTAAAAGCACTGCCTGCTGACCAATCAGAGCTCAGTGTGCGGAGTTTAAAGCGATCAAGTCATATTACAGGAGAAAGGAAATACAGAAAAGCTGCCGTTGCAGGAAAGACGGCCGGCAAAAATCACCGACTGTGTGAACGTGAACATTAATAGAATATCACCTTCAGAGCAATCTGACTATTATAACATTAGCGTTAAGAAAGCTTACTTAAATATCTGCCACAACATAAGTAACCGGATCAGAGTAACATTAAGTACAGTCCGCGGCATATCACATCATAATGTATCATATATTTCCTTATCTGAGTCGGCTGAGCCGTATCTGGCCGTGCAACACTTACAGTGTCACATACTGTATGCAGGAGTATTATTTTAAGCAACACATTAAGTTGACGAAACACTTGAGTCAAATGTAATTAAAGTCAGATCCACTCGTGTCTTAGACGGGGCAGTGATATAATAAACCTGTTAATGTACGCATTCAAACACTTTTTCTTTTACCAGCTGTATTCACCTTGCAGGTGCAACTATGTGGCTTTTATCCTGGATACAGTGTTTAAGTCATGGATGTTTAAAGTTTAACTTCTTCATATTTGTCTAATATTATAGTAGACTTTTCATTCAGGAAGTATGACGCTGCGCTGTCAGTACGCTTCTTCATGTTTGTGATTGGTCGCATGCTCCAAACACCACCCCTTTCATGTGAACGTGCACCTAACTAGATAGGACACGGCTGGCTTGAGCGATCCACTTGATAACCAGCGTCGTAGGACCGTTTAGCGAGAGCGCGTATGTTTTAGATTAGGCCAACCGGCTAACTCAAACATATCAAGGTTAGGTTGAACCAGCTTCGTAGTACAGGCCTCTGAAGTCCACAATTAGTTATTTTGTTTTTGTTGTGTTAAGGGCCAGGTTATTGTCAGCACACCACTCAGTCAGATGCTGAACGTCCTCCCTGTAGGCCGTCTCATGGTTGTTGTGGATGAGGCCGATCACCGTTGTCATCTGCATACTTGAGGATGGTGTTTGAACCATGTACAGGGGTACAGTCGTGGGTGAAGATGGAGTAGAGGATGGGGCTCAGCACGCAGCGTGCAACTCCCTTCTACGTACATATTATTACATAAGAAAAATAGCTACACATCTTTTTTTGAATGCATTATGAATTATGACAATTATTTTATTAAATGTTTGAATTGTTTGTTTTTCACTAAAGAGGATGTTTACTATTGTTGTGAATCGCCATTAAGATAATGTAAAACAGTGACCGTTCTAACATGTGTGGTTAAAATGTAACTAAGTACTTTCGGTTGCTGACTTGTATGAGCATTTTACATGGCTTTTGTTTTGCTTTGAATTATTTAGTTAGATACTTGATGAGAGAAATGAGAGAAAGAGTTCTAAATGTCTCACTTCCATGTGCTGATCTTGGTTGAGAGTTTCAGACTCTCATGGCAGATAGTGCCTTTTTCACTAGAACAAAAAAAAAAGATATCCATATATATGCTTTACATTTGCAGCTGCATAAGGAGAACAGTAAAATAAATAATAATAGATAAATATCAGTTGAGTTTGTGGTATTTGTACAATACTCAGTGAAACATCTATGTACCTAGACTTTTTTTTTTCTTCCAGGGGGGGCATGAGACGCAGTTTAGCGGACATTGTTGTGGCCACTCCAGGTCGGCTGGTCGATCACATCAACAAGAATTCAGGCTTCAGTCTGGAACACCTCAGGTTTCTAGTAAGTTCTTACAACATGTAAAACATACAGTATATATAAAATATCATAAAGCACAGCAAATATGACGGTGCACAATCATCTGTTTTAAAGTGGAGGCTCTCACCCTCTCATCCATCCCAGATTATAGACGAGGCCGACAGGATGATTGACAGCATGCACCAGTCGTGGCTCAGCCAGGTGGTGAAGGCGGTATATAGACCAGGAAGTGGACAGGAAGCCATGTCCATCCTCAGGAGGGCGGAGCCAGCACATGTGACAGCAGCCAGGTGAGTCTGAAGAGGCTCTTTGTGTAGGGTAGACATGAAGGAAGGTGTCTTTATTCATATAAGCAGAGTTTTATTTAACAGAAGGCTATTAAAAAAAAACAAAAAAAAACTCAATCTTAAAAAATATTTGCTTTGATAACATTATTGTGTTTTTTTTGTTTTTTTAATACATTTAATATCATCAAAATGAGATAAGATGATAATTTTGTTAGTATCCTTGTCTGCTTTCAGTCAGTGCGATTAGGAGGTTCTTGTGAATCTTATGTTGGTGTTTGTGTACAGCTCTAGAGTCAGGCTCTAGTTAGCCTAGCTTAACATTAAGACTATCCTGGCCATCCTAGCTTTATCCAAAGATCAGACATAGTTGAAACAAAAATAATATTTTTTACAAAGGAGATACATAAAGAGTTAATTATTTAGAAGTTTTAGGTGTTGAAAGGTGTCGTTTTTAACTTTGGACAGTTTCGGGCAAGCTGTTTGTCTCTGCTTCAATTTTGTATGCTAAGCTAACTACATACTGACTCCACCGCTGTACTGAGTTTTTTTCAAAACAAAGTTACATTTACATTCAGTGCTTTTCAATTTTTTTTAATGTAATCTTATTTCTTTGAATATTTGCAATTTTAAATCCTGTATTGTTTACATCTAGATTTACTACTGTCTTATTATTCCATGTCTTTGGCCAGGTTTGGAAGGGTTACTTTAAACATTTTATCTGTTACAATTACTAGTTACCTGTCAAAAAAATGTAATCAGAAACCTTATCTGAGTATCATAATATAAAAGTAAAGTAACCTGATTACTTTCCGTTACTTTTGATTTACCTAGAATATCATATGCAATGCAAATAAGCACAAAATAATAGAAATATCAATAAGTAGTTTTTGTGTGTAGCGACAAAACTCCCATTGAACAGTCACTAGAGGTTAACGTAGGCTCATCCCTTTGACACGTTGATCATTAAATACAAATGTGTGCAATTTAAATTAACAACAATAATGGAAATAATGAACTCGGGTTAAATGAGCATTTTGGCTCCTACAATGTGTATGTAACAATGTGAACTTAGAAAATAAACCAATATATTATCAGAAATGTGTCCCCTTATAGGATAAGTACACTTAAGAAATGCTGATTCATTTGAATACTTTGATTAAACACAGTGTTATTGTGTAATAAATCAGGTGTTCACTAACTGCATATGGAAAAATATATTTAAAATAAAGAAGAATAAAAGCAGCCTTAAATGAAAACCAAAAGGTCTACCTGTAATATAGACATTTTAATTTTAAAATGTCTTGGAACGATATAATCCTGTTTGTAATCCCCTTTTTTCTTTTTTTTATGTAACAGTAATCTGATTTCTTCTTTTTTTGTATGTAACTGTAGGAATACAGCTACTTTTTTGTGTGTCCTGATTATGTAATCCATTAGTCCCCAAGCCTGTCTTTGGCTGGTGCATCGTTGCGTTTCATGAATACTGATCAGTGGAATAATGTT